GCTTGTAGATTGCAGGCCATCGCTAGTAGGTTGGAGGCCATCGCTAGTAGGTTGGAGGCCATCGCTAGTAGGTTGGAGGCCATTGTCTTATCATGTTCTGCGCTGTCTGGGCACCTCCTCAGCCATGGTCGTGGCTCCAGCGGCCTCGTCCGTATCGGCCGCACGAATGGCCTGACGTGTGAAACTCTGCTTGGCAAAACATGTAACAGGTATAAACATGTCGCATTTCTATCACATCTCCGAACTGATTGGAACTTGCCTGAATGGCTTTCTTCCTCGCTTTCATTTCTCTGATGAGCTGTGAGGTATAGGAGTATTGCCACTTGTGGGAGTTTTTGCATGACAAAACACCCTGAACAACGGCGCCTGTCAGAAAAGAGTAAAATAAATGTCAAGGCATTTCCAGACATGCAAAGGCACGGCAAAGACATAGAGTGTATATGAGTGAAAAAGTACATGAGATGCCCTAGCTACTACTATAATGCCCTTGCTACTACTAGTAATAAGAGTGTACATTGTACATGAAATAAAGTTTTAGGTTTTGCTCTTTCGCCTGGTCCAAGCATGACAGGAGCCGCGCCAGAAAGCTGGACTTGCCTGGACAACAGGGTTTCTGACATTTGTCGTCTTTTTTTGATCCGTTGTGATGGGCAGTTAAAGTGAAGCAGGCAACACAGCCCCAAGAAGATCGGTACACAAGGCAAAGCTGAGTCCTTCATCAGTATGAGCTGTCCTGAGTTCATCGTTCAGAAATCTGTAAAGGCTTCTCGACTTCACAATGGTGGAGAAAGGCCAACAAAAATGTGATCCAAGAAACGAGCTTGCAGCTTCCTGAACCTTGCTGATCAGCTCATCCAACCAACCTTGACACTGGCGACGTTTCCAAAAGGTTCCAAGCATGAATTCAACGTGATTCAGTCCCCAGTCCGCTAACCACTTCACGCTGTCTGTCAACCCGTCTTTCTTGTCTTGCATTGAGCAGCTGGATTCTTGATCTTCGGTCTCATCCTCCACAAATGTGCAGTGCAGAGCGTGCACGAGTCTTTCCGTTGGAAAAAGCGTGCCGAAAAAGAGGAAAAACATGGAGCAAGGACGCTACGAACCGGGCTCCTGGCATCGCTACTAGGAGCGATCGGACACTACTACTGTTATGCAACATGCAAAAGTCGAAAAGAGTGACAAAATGCAAACTCGTACCGCTCGAACCTCCCAGGCTTCGCGTGACTCTTCTGCAGCTAACCGCTGTACTTCGAGTTGTAGTTGACTATTTTCACCTGGTGAGAATGTAAAAGGAAGTAACACTTGCCTTGCTGGCTACAAGAGAGTTTTCCTGAAAGCACTGGGGATGCTGCTACAAAGCTCGTCGTTGGCAGCATTTTGCCTCGTGAGATCTGGTCCAAACCCATCTCGTTTGGAGATATCGTGTCGGGCACACAGGAAGGCATAAAAACAAAGCAATTTCGAGGAAACATCTAGGAACCAAATGAATAGAAGCGCGAGTTTTCCTGTGTCCAACCCAAAAGCAGGTCACCTAGTAGTAGTTATGTTACCTAGCCCTTACTTAGGTAACTAGCAACTCAATGCGAGATCATGTCCGTCTCCAAATGTGAGGCTCAGCAGCACATTCGATCTCGAAGGCGACCGCTTTAGGTTGGAGGCCATCGCTAGTGTTTGCAACACGTCTCCCAAAACTGTTTCTAACACGTCTCGCTCTTTGTTCGTTTCCGCCTCTTCAAGGCCGCCTCCCAATCGACAGCTTCGGCGTCTGCCGGTAGCCTGGAGGCCAACAGCGTGCCGCCCAAGCCTCAGGCGTGCCGCCCCTAGTAGCTTCTTGTTCCTAGTAGTACGGCCAGGAGCCCCTAGTAGCGTCCTTGCTCCTAGAAGCGATGCCAGGAGCCCCTAGTAGCTTCTTGTTCCTAGTAGCGATGCCTTTTCCTCCTAGTAGCGGCATGAAGTTGCACAAACATCGGCATCGTGTTGCACAGGATTGCCCAAAAGAATCGGGTCTCTGTGTCACACATCCTAAACGATCGCCAGAATTGCGCCTGGTACCACTAGGCCATCTTGAAGGCCCAGATTCAAGACTTGGCTCCTGGCAAAAAAAGGAAGCTCCGTTGCTTCTTTCGGACAACATCATCCTCTTTGCATCGACATGTTGTCACATGCGTCTAGTTCACTCCTCTTGCATTGTGACTCTTAAGAAGCTACTAGTAACAAAGGGCATCGCTACTAGGAACAAGAAGCTACTAGTTTGCAGTGGTGGACGTGACTCTCATTTCTTCCCGGCTCTCCCGGAGTTAGCCCATGCGACCCAGCTTTGGAGTGCTTCCAAGGGGTTCGACTCCGGCTGAACCATACGTTCTCGAAGCCGCCATGGCGGCGATTCCTTCGACTTCAAGTGACTTCGATTCCTTAGACGTTTTTGTTTTTGTTAAAAACCCTGTTCCAAGAGGATCAGCAAACACCGTTACGCCAATGTCTGGGCTCTTCAGGGGAAACACTTTACGGGCTTGGGCCCCGTGATGACTGCAGTGAGTTGTGAGATGAAATGCAATGATCAGTCTTGAGGCACTTCTTGAGGCCTGCCGGCCATCCTTTGTGGCTGAAATTCCTTGCAAGACTTTCCTGGGCCAATTATGCTGTTCAGCAGCAGCGCACAGTTGCATCAGGTTGCACAGTCGCGTCTCGCTGTAGTTTGTATTGAAGTGCTTCCAGAAAGGATGCGGTTTGTGTGTTTTTTTAAATATGTTTTTATCGTTTTCCGAGTTGCAGAGATGGAAGGTCTTTCCCTGAAGGCTAAAATTCAGCCAAGAATCCTACCAAGTTCAATCCTTCTGAGTCTTGAGGGATTCTTAAACAAATCTACCGTCTACCCATTGCCTTCAGTCCCCTTCCTGTATGACCTAGGCCAAGGTCCTCCCATGGATCTTTCCAAATCTGCTAAACATGACTAAACAAGTGTGGTAAAACCTTGTCAACCAAGCCATAGGAGGAACCCTAGCTCAACTTGGGTCCAAAAAACGCCCAATCGGGCAAGACCCATGTTAAAATCTGCCTGGAAAGCTCTACAAGCCCTGCAATGCCGCATGAACTGGGTCTTATATTGGTTAGTCCCATGTCTCCGTCTTGTATATTCTGAGCCAACTTAGGCGGCATTGCAGACCTCTTTCTTCACGCTCTGCTCGCGATTTCGTGTTGGGCGCCTTTGGCCAATCGAATTTCATGCAGCAGCAGTGCCTTCATGCCTTTTGCCTTTCTGTATCAGTTGATTGCTTTCTGCCAGTCCATTGGCTGTGGGTCCCTGTGGTTCCAAGATTTAAATCCGGTTGGTCATATTTTTGACCAAAAAGGTTGGTTTTGGTCGCAAACTGCGAGGTGTGTTTCGGTGCATTTCAAGTGGCAAAACCTCTGAGATCGAGCCAAAATTTGGTAGCAACAAGAACGCTAGTTGAAACTGGAGTGCCTCCCGTCCCTATCACTACTAGTAACAAGAAACTACGAGGTGGAGGCCATTATAATAGGTTAGAGGCCATTGCTATTAGGTTGGAGGCCATCCCTAGTAGGTTGGAGGCCAGAACTACTAATAACAAGAAACTACTAGGTGGAGGCCATCGCTAGTAGGTTAGGTTGGAGGACATCGCTAGTAAGTTGGAGGCCATTACTACTAGTAACAAGAATCTACTAGGTGGAGGCCATCGCTATTGGGTTGGAGGCCATCGCTATTAGGTTGGAGGGCATAGCTAATAGGTTGAAGGCCATTACTACTAGTAACAAAAAGAGAAAAAACATATAGAGAAACACTGGGTCTACACGACCTTTATGGAGTATCCGCTAAGAGAGTTGCAGGAGTCTTGCAAGTCTTGAACCTAGCTTTGCCATGTTCGGTAGCCCCGCTAAAGTCTGTTTGTGCGCAAGGCACTGCTGGGTGAACACCCTTCGTTATCTGACCTTGTGTCACTTTGCAAGCCAACCTGCAGCGACGCACGACAGTGTGCAGCATGCAACAGCGCGACATGAAAAGGAAGGGCCCTAGAATTGGCATAAAGCTTGCAAACGCTCAGACGCTGTGCTGACAGTCTTGTTGCAATCTCAAGCCACGCAAAGAGAAAGAAATATATATATATATATGGTACCCCCCCTGAGATCCACATTTGATGCCGTTTCCACACTTTTCAAATCCAATGCAACCAAACCGTCTCCCTGCATCCAATGATCCAATGTACATCTGCTTCCCTCTTTCAAAACCCAATGCAGCCAAGACAGTCTCCTTGCATCCAATTTGATGCTCTTTACTTACACAAAATCTGACTTAGGATTTCAGACTTGGGATTTTCAAGTCTGAACAGGTGATCCACGGATCACAGATCCAAGATTTGGGTAAACTCTTGTCCACAAATCTTGGATCCACGGATCTTGGGTCTTGGATCCATGGGTCCCAGATTTCTGGACAAGAGTTTTCCCAAATATGGGATCTTGGACCCATGGAATCAAGATTTCTGGGCAAGAGTTTTCTTAAATCTTGGATCTTGGATCCATGGGTTCAAGATTTCTGGACAAGAGCTTGGCCGGAAGGTCGTGGCTAGAACCCACCAATCGCATCCGGCCATAGCTTCTATGGTGGTTGTTGCAAAGAGGAGAAGGAAGAGCAAGACGAGTTTGCATACACGCGGGCGCAGTGTAATCGATCCACGTGCTCAAACAGGATGACAGGGATGAAGTTTTCTTTTCAAAAGTTCGCATTCCGCACCAGAAGCGACAGCTGCGAATGCAGAGAAGCAAAATAAGCTTGCCTCTACTACTAGATAGCTGACAGTCAGGCTGATCTATGTCACTGCAAGCATTGAGTCCTTAACAGAGACACGCTCTACGGTGAGTGGTTGCTTCCTGGCGGGTCTTTGCGTTACTTTGCGATGCAGATTTAGAGATGTAGCGTATGTTGCGTGATTCCAGACGCTGTGTAAACGTAGTCTTTGAGTATATCCTTTTGGAATGTGAAGCGTCCCTATGTTGCGGAGTTTTGTAGACTGGCAACAAGCTATCGCTGCGCGGGGCGGTAAGTCACAGTGTACTGACAAACTTCAGTGAAGTGGAAAAATGTGTTACCGAGAAGAACTTTTCCACATCGAGGGTAGCTGGCTGATGTCAGCTACACTTCTGCAATATTGGTTTTAGTAAGCTACACCCCTCCACAAGTTTCTGCGCTAGCAAACTCGAATGGCACGGCTTGGCGTGCTTTGCGTGGCAAGCTCAATGCGTGCATTGCGCTGGAAATGGCTATCGCATATCTGAAGGTAATTAAACATCGCTCTGCTGCACGACCACAGCAGCGTCGTCATTTGCGGCTGCACCCCGCGCGACCAGGAAATGCCTCCAGCGTGTAGATGCGTCGGATGTTCTGTGTGTATTTGGAATCTTTGATGCTTGGGCGCGGCAAAGGAAGCTTTGATTTACTTAATCGTGAGGTCCATTGCAAATGTGGGTCGCGACGAGTTTGGCCCTCAGTCACCATTTTTGTACAAACACGGGCTTCGCCGTCTGGCGCGTGTCAAGCGTGGAACAAGTTCAACAAGAAGCTACGCGTAATTTTGTTTTAAGCGGGATTGCAGATCGTGACTTTGGGGACGATGTTCTGGAAGCTTTTGCCACCATGAACGCAAGCAATGTCTATGCGAATTTTCGTCGTTTTTCACCATCAAGGCACGTGGAAATTCAGCTTCTATCCTGCGCAACACGAGCGCGATCACGGTGACGCAATCACGATTCTGCAGTTATATACTGCCGGACCCAAAGATGGACTGCCTATGATCGGGTGGGGAGTCTAGGTTTTCGTTACCACTTAGAATGCCTCCCAGCACATTGAGGCGTACCTGCGACGCGTCTTTTAAAAATATTGAGGCGTACCTGGGCTAATTTGTATATAGTTATATAATATATATGTATTGTTGAAGTGTTTTGCTTACTGCCTTGGCTCAAAAGAGGTAAATTCAGGAATTTGAGCTGGCGCCATGCAGCAATTGAAGATCTATATATACTTGAGAAATATATATATATACACATAGTGTTTACATGATTCAATCGCTGTATAGAGCTCATTTGATGCAAAACACTGTAGCCGGACTGACAGTTGGAATGCCGCCCTAAACCTGTACTATTTGTGGGGCCGCGCAGGCATTCTAAGTGTAGGAAAATGAGACACGCATTCTAAGCCAATCGTAGAGCCAGCATTCTAACTTTCAGTCCGGCAGTATACATCCACGGCGTTCAAGCAGCGATGACCATGACTGAAATCTACGTGGAAAGACATGATCATGGCAGCAGGGGCAGCAGCGTAGCCAGCTTTCAAGCAGTAGCAGCGATGATCATGATTTACCCCTCGCATGCATAGCGCGTGAACTGAGTGGAGAAAAAAGAGATTGTCTGCGCAGCGTTTCACCCCCCTCCCTCCTGATCACATTCATCCTCCTCAATATTTCCTCGCCTGCTGCGCTTTCGGGCCACCTTGTCGTGGCTGAACGGTCGTGACCTACTGGCTATATGGCCGGGTGGCCATTGCCGGAACCCCACAAACCGCATCCGGCCATAGCTTCTACGGCGGTTGCTGCAAAAGGGGAAAAGTAAGAGCAAGACGAGTTTGCATACACGTGGGCGAAGTGTAATCGCTCGAACAGGATGACGGGGATGAAGTTCTTTCTCAAAAGTTTGCATTCTGTGCCAGAAGCGACAGTTGGGAGTGTAGAGAAGCAGAATAGGTTTGCATTTACTACTAGAAGTCAGGCTGATCTATGTCGCTGCAAGCGTTGAGTCCTTAACAGAGACACGCTCTACGGTGAGTGGGTGCTTCCTGGCGGGCCTTTGCGTTACTCTTTGCGATGCAGATTTAGAGATGTAGCATATTTTGCGTGATTCCAGACGCTGTGTAAACGTAGTCTTTGAGTATATCCTTTGGAATGTGAAGCGTCCCTATGTTGCGGAGTTTTGTAGACTGGCAACGAGCTATCGCTGCGCGGGGCGGTAAGTCACAGTGTACTGACAAACTTCAGTGAGGTGGAAGAAGGCGTTATTGAGAAGAGGCTTTTCCATATCGGGGGTAGCTGGCTGATGTCAGCTACAATCCGGCAATATTAATTGTTGTAAGCTACACCCCTCCACAAAGTGTCTGCGCCTGCAAGCTCGGATGGCATGGCTTTGCGTGCGTTGCCCGGCAAACTCAACGCTTGCGTTGCGCTGGCAATGGTTGTCGCATATCTGAACATCGTTCTGCTGCATGAACACAGCAGGGTCGTCATTTGCGGCTGCACCGCGTGCGAACAGGAAATGTCTCCAGCGTCTAAATGCATCGGACGTTCTGTGTGCACTTGGAATCTTTGACGCTTGCCTGCAGGAAAGGATGCTTGTGATTTACTCAGCCGT